TACCCCCCCCCCCCCCCCCCCAACTAGCACACCTTCGCTACGTCCCTGCAAAGGGCTAATATTTCTTGTGCTTCTTACCTACTACTTAATATATTATAATATAGTAACATTGTAATCCGTCTTACCCTCATCAGATACCATACCACTCTTGTCACCAACTTGAGAAAACATCAAAAATACTGTTACCAAACACCAATTCAACAAACTGGGAACCGAACGCACAGGAAGAGACATTACAAGCAGTAGTAGTAGTGAAAGAATAACCGAACTCTTACTAAGTAAACTATTCACATATTTTCTTTCTTGTATTTCCACATTTGCAGCATCCAATCTCTCTTTCATCTGAAGATTCTCGCATTCCTTAATTCGTCGATATTCTTCCATTAGACGCAATTGATTCTCCTCTAAGATCAAAACATCCGCCGCTTCCACTTTGTTAATTGTTGGTTTTAAGTCTTGAACTTCTTTGCTGACAACTAATTCAGGGTCATGCATTAACAATTGAATGTCTTGAAAAGCAGCGTTTTTATCGCCGTCACTAAATCTCCGTTTTGGAGCATGGGCCCACTGATTCCTTCTTTCTGTAACTGCTTTCAATATAGGCGCCTGAACGTTAAAGTGTTTACAAAATCTAAACAAATTAAGTAGAGGACCAACATCTGTGGAATTTGGGTCCGTAACTTTGGCCGGATCAGATCCTATACCCGACATAAACAACTTTGCAATCTCCCAATAACCAACAACAGGATCGTGCCATTTGCTACTGTCACTTTGATGCCAAGGAATGTCAGCTTTCTTTGTAAAAACGTGATGTTTCTTCAATTCCTGGGCCCAAATACAAGTTGTTGCTCGTCCATGAGGGTTTGGTTTTATTCCTAGCGTGCACTTGCAACTACATTTGACTCCTCCGACATTTGTCATTAGCAAAGCATGAAAATCTATCATTTTTTTCTCAGCATATTGCCTAAGGCCCTCGCCGAGAAGCATGAGAGCATCTCCAACAGCGTGCCAGTTCCGATATTCCGAATCATTTCGTATTTCCAATAAATCTTGTGCACCAAAACTCATGTTGTGAAAATCTACCAAACCTAAAACTAAAATCAATAATTTTAAAATTCTGCTGATTGTCATGGAGTAAACATGTAGGAAAGTAGGGTCATACTGTTCAGGAAAAGAAAAGGTGGGTAGTGAATTGTACTTAAATTGACAACAGAGTAAAACAAAGACATCCAAAGGGGAAAGATTTTAATTTTGTCTGTGGAAAAGCAGCAGATTATTTTGAATATTATAGACAGGTGTTGTTTCTTTACTCCCGTAATATTAATACCATACAATAACACCAAATAGGGGGAAAATTAACCTCTCCTATACATTTTCTATGATTATATATACCCCCAAGATAGGAAAATATAGGGTTGCATTGCAATGGATCATAGGCGTACCGGGCGGGGGGGGGGGCTACCGCCCCCCCAGTTTTTTGGGCAGTCGGGCAATATTCGATCAACAGTCGGGCAATTTTGGTTTGCAATAAAAAAAAATGGGACAAATTCTGTCAATTTTGTCTAAAATTAAGTAAATTTTTTGGCAAATTTTGTGAATTTTCGAAAATTTGTGTTATGTTCCGGAAAATATTGGCTGTCCGGCAAATTTTTTTGACCCCTAAAATGGTACACTGACCGAAATTTTTTTGGCGACGGGGGGGGGGGAGGTCGCCAAAATAATTTTTCCGGAAAAAATTTTTTGGTACTAGTCGGGCAGAATCCCGAAAAGTCGGGCAATTTTCTTTCCGCCCCCCTAATTTTTTCCTTCCGGTACGCCCATGCAATGGATAGTCGTTGTTTGGGGTAGAGGGAAATAATTGTTCTGCGGTAAAATGTATCAAGAGATTCTAGAATGTCATTGCAACGGAGAGTTTATTTGAGGGGGGGGGGGGG